TTTGTAAATCCTGAGCTGGCTTGAAGTGTGCACACATGGCAATACAGCCAGCATTAGTAATATAAAAATATACACAACAGACTGAATTCTGCAGATAACTGTCCTTACCCTAACTTATGGTGCTTTAACTGAAGTACAGTATATAGTACAGCCTTGTGTGCCACTGAAACCTACTCACATCCGAGAAACAGGAAATACTAAAATTAAGATTGCATTTTCTTCACAAGAAATGACAGCTATGCATTTACTGAGGCATCATAAATATTTTCATACTCATATACACTTGTCATATATTTAATATATTTGAGTATATTTTCATATGCTTATGAATATTTTTTTTTTTCCTCCTTAAAATCATTTCCCTGACAAAATGCAGAATGAGTCTTTTAACTCTTTGGCCAGGAGTATTAACTTGCATTGAATTCTCCTACTTTGTTTCCCCCCCAGTTAAGAAATAGTTGCTCTTGTTAATTCAGTTTAATAATTCTCTTAAAGGCATCGTGCCTTCCTCAATCCCATAAATTCTTGGCTTTCCTTAACTTGAAAGATTAAATGTTAAAACTTCAAATACTTTAAAAAATGAAGCTATTTCCCTTAAAATGCCTGTGCTGGCCTGACCTTTCTAAATCTAACTCTGAGGGGAAACTTGAGCTGCCAGCAGCACTGGATTGTTTCGGGCCTGTGTGGATGTGGTCCACGCTGCAGGTGCATCTCTGTTGCGCTTGTTTAGTGTCTTTGTCATAATTTTTGAGTACTTTCCATGATAAATCTACAGACAAGAAGCTCTTCTGCCCAAAGGAAGGAGCCAAAGGAGCAAGAGGCTTCTGCAGCCACTTCCCTGTTGACTTGGTTGGCAGCACGTCAGGGAAGAACCAACCGCTCTGAGCGGATGCCGGAGGGATTTGGTGAGGACCAAAAGAGCCACTTGTGTAACCAAGGAGGGGAGCAACTACCAAAGCAATGGCTGAGGAAGATGCCAGAACTGTTAGTAGAGGATCTCCACATGGAGTTCAGTGTGACCCTAAGCAAGAACACTCTGGGGTTCACCTTCCAGAGGAGAACCAGATGCTCCATCTGGAAAGAAAATACATTATCATTTAAACAACTGCTCCAGAGATATCTTAATGTCACTGCCTCCTGCTGTTTATTGCCACCCTGGGAGAGGGTCAGCACTCACTGCATTAGATAAGGAACTGCAGGAAAGGTAACACCTCAGATTTGGCTTTCAGAAGACATCTGTCTGTGCTCATGGTGAATTTTCCATTTGTTTAGCTCAGGTGTATCATTTACCAATTTTCAGGAAAGATCTGCAGTAAGTTTGTGCACCCTGGGACACGGGAGTGACCAGAAGCTGCTAAAGGACAATATAAGGGACAGTTCTTTCTTCCTCAGAATGATGCATAAATACCCTGAAAGTTTTTAACTTGCATTTGTAACACAGATGAAAGCAGCAGGAACAAAATATATACTTAAATACATACTTATATATTTCATAACTGTTTTAAAAAGGTGTTAAAGAACAATAAAGTTAAAGGAGAAAATGGTTCTGAGAAAGAAAAAAGAAATCAGCAATTCACAGGAAGAGGAGAACAAGGAGGTGGTAGAAACTTGCCTGATAAATTGTGTATCACACAGTGAGGCACTGAGTGGTGTGGTTTTATAGTCTTGTACATGTATGTTTGACTATGCTATTTTTGCCCCAATTTCCTCATAGGTTAAAAGGCTGCAAAGAAATCGTTCTAAGCTAAAAAGAATGGAGAAATGGGTGGTATTTCTAGAGGAGAGGTATTTTCCACTTACTGGGAAGGTCTGAGAATTCTGCTTGCAACACCATTGGCCCTGGTTCCTCTCTCTTGTTTATATTTTGAATTTTCAAGTCACATACTGAATTATGCCAAGTGACAGAAGGGAAAATGTCTGCGTGGAGCAGAGTCATTGATCCCACAAGGAATTGGCTTCCTTGGCATATCAGTGTTTTCAGTGACCCTCTGAGTGAGAAACAGAAAGAGGAATGATGAGCCAGATTTTCAGACAGGCACACACAATTAAACACATTTGAATGTGCCTTATTTGCTCTCGTAGGGAGTTGTGTTTCTCTCCTGAACAGTTTGAGGCTTCTGTAACCTTCTTTAATAATCACACAGGTTGCTTCCCTCTGGAAGGGCTGGATCAGCTGGACCTTGCTGTCCTCCTTTGCAGCCGTGGTGTAGCCCCTGCCTGGGCAGCATATATTTTGGGCAGCTATGAGGCACACATAGCAGTTATGGGGGGGGGGAAACATGAGCTAGATGTGGGATATACATGTGATGCAAGATCGTGTATGAGTAGGGAGCAAGAAGGTGAGAGGCTGAGTGTGTTCACTAAAGGCTTCTGGCAGTGTGTGTTCTAGGCTGTGACTCCAATTAGCATTTTCTCCCACTTTAGATTTGCATGGCTGTACACATGGGCCATTGCTTCTGAATATAGCAAAGATCAACAGAAGATATATATGGTATCACAGAATCATACAATGGTCTGTGTTGGAAGGGACCTTAAAGATCATCTCATTCCAACCCCCTGCCGTGGGGAGGGGCAGCTTCCACTAGAACAGGTTGCTCCATCCAACCTGGCCTTGGACACTTCCAGGGATGGGGCATCCACAGGTTCTCTGGGCAACCTGTGCCAGTGCCTCACCACCCTCACAGTCAAGAATCTTTTTCCTAATATCCAATTTAAACCTACCCTCTTTCAGTCTGAAGCCATTCCCCCTTGTCCTGTCACTACATGCCCTTGTAATAAGTCCTTCTCCAGCTTTTGTGTAGGCTCCTTTCAGGTACTGGAAGGTTTACACTTGAATCCAGTGTTCTTGGTGAGGAATAACTGATTTTGGATGCCTCATTTGACCCCTGGCATCATTCATGGCAATTTTACTCAAGCCCACTTGTGCAGAACCATAATTTTTTGTACAGATGGAAAAGTATTAGGAAAAATTACTTCACTGAAAGGGTTGTCAGGCACTGGAACAGGCTGCCCAGGGAAGTGGTTGAGTCACCATCCCTGGATGTGCTCAAAAAATGTGTGGATGTGGCACTTGGGGACTTGGGTTAGTGGTGGGCTTGGCAGTGCTGGGTTAAAGGTTGGACTTGATGATCTTAGAGGTCTTTTCCAACCTAAATGATTCTGTGATTCTGAGTTCGTCTGGTTTTGTAGTACAAGGGCTTATATTGTTCTCCATCTTCCCAGATGAGAAGGGAAGTCTACATGCATAAACAGGTGTCCTACTGTAGCAGGCAAAATGGTTCACAGATGGTTTTGCTGAGTTTGAAAAACTCCGTGGAAAAGCCAAAGAGGCACCGCTGGGGGAAATAAAATGCAAAAAAAAAAAAAAAAGGACAAGAAGCAGATACAGCTTTGTGGTTCATACTTTATTTACAAACACCTCTGAGGGGGTCAGCACAAGCAGTTTTAAAATCTTTCTTCTGGATTAAAGAACCAAACCAAGATCAGGAATATTGCAACTCGCAAAATATAATGAATTATTGGCTGAGCTCCATGACTGCAGGTAATCCACCTGATTTCAGTGCCCATCCTTCTGTGGCCAGGAAATATAATAATATAAAGCAAATGGAAACTCGTCTCTGTATAAGAGAAAATGTTGATAGGTTTTTTCTGTAATATTGATTTTTTTCTGAGCACAAGCTTTTGTAAAAAAAGCATCTCAAGAAAGTCTTTGGCTGTGTACACCAGTCAATGACACTTAGTCCCATTAGTGGGAAAATGGACATAGCCACCGAGGGAGTCTCTCTTCAAGGAAACAGAAGCAGCTGTTGGAAGACAGGATGAATAGTCTCATCTCTTACTCCACCTAGTTAGAGATTTTGACCAGCAGTGTGTTCTGTTTAGCCACAGAAATACCTGACCAAGAGGATGCTGCCCTTATGTGATGTTACACAAAAAATATCATCACTGTGAAGAGAATGCTGTCCAGAGACCTGTAAAATCTCTGGTTTCAAAGTTCCTGCCTCCTGGGTCGCTCTGAAATGACCAAATAGTGAATGAAAGGGCAGGATGGCTAATTAGAAGGTGACTGAGCACAATGGGCACGGTAGAAAATGTCTTAAAATATAATGAAATTGGGCTAAATAGCAGATGGTTAAAAAAAACCAAACCAATGAATTGTAAATGAAATTGGAAGTGTAAGAAACTTTGATTTAGGAAATAATACAGACTTCATGGGTGTGATCAGTCTACTGAATCCTTAATGGAAATATGCACTCGAGAGCCACTGGAAGCTTTCTACGTTGGTGTGATGGAGGAAAATATCCCATGATTAACTGTGTATTGGGTTTGCATGACCAGTGAGGTTCTGGCTGATGAAGGCACACAAGGATAGCTAATGCTAGACCAGCTTGCACTCAGCCTTTTTGTAACAAGTATATTTGGAGCAGAAACATCAGAAGTTTCTTAGTTCTTTAGAAATATTTCCTGGAATTGATGACCTTGGAGGTATTTTCCAACCTTATTGATTCTATGATTCTAAACAAATGGCAGCATTTTTAGGGCCTCTGAATGCAACAGAACAGACATGTAGCCCACTGAAGATCATCTGTGCCAAGAGGTTAGTACACAACTTCTAGAAGAACGCAGGTGGTCTTTCAAAAGCCTTCTCCTTTGATGCTTAATACTCTTAACATGTGATGAAAAGCCTGTTACCCAGTGGAGGAAAGTTTTAAACAAGAAAAGATGAAGCCCACACCCAAACTGCCTTTCTCTCAGGACGCATCCTCAACAGTGTTTTTAAGACCTAATAGAGGCTATTTGCTTGGACTTGCAGCCAAAATAACTCCCTTGTTGCTTCCTTTTAGGAAATCAAATGAGATGGAAATGGGTTTCTGAACACATACACACACACAGGGTCAAGTCTCAGGCTGGGAACAGGTTGCCCAGAGAAGCTGTGGGTGCCACATCCCTGGAAGTGTTCAAGGCCAGGCTGGAGGGAGCTTTGAGCAACCCGGGATAGTGGAAGGTGTCCCTGCCCACGGCAGAGGGTTGGAACTGGATGGTCTTTAAGGTGCTATCCAACCCAAACCACTCTACGATTCTGTGATTGCTGCTAATCCACCTGGACATTGAAGTGCCTTTGATTCCAGACACAGGTTAAGCACAGACACACCAGTGAACTGTTGCTGCAGGGAACCAGGATAAGACATATGTCTGCAGCACACGTCTCCTGAGTGTTACCTGAGGTGTAGAAAATACACATCACCTCCTGCAGATTCTGCCAGTATCCTGAGCAGGGACTGTCTCTGAGCATTAAGGAAAAATCCAGTCAATTCTAAGAAATACCATCTCTCTCCAGAAGATACTTAATCACAGGGGACAAAAAAACATACACAGATTCTATCAAGGAGAGGTATTACACAAAGGACCTTGAGGTTGAGGAACAAGGACCTGCAGGTGAAAGCTGCTACCAGTCCTCCTGCAACTTTGTGTGGATCAGCAATTTAAGGTATCCCCCACTGTACATCCAGTCCAAAAAGCAAGGGGGTCTGAGCTACAAAGAGTCACCACGTAGGACTGATTTGGGCTAAACCACTTTGTGGTTAGATCCACGCTGCCACCTTCAAGAATTATACTGGGTTTGGATTTCCAGAAATAAGTCTGTTGCATGGGAAATGTGATCCACCCTATTCCACACAGTTTGTCAAAGCAGCAGCCATCTGCTGGGGTTTACAGAAGGCTGAGGAACACAGGATGTTTACTTTCATTCAGATGTGCCGTGGATGTGCCTTGTATGAGCAGACTTGTCACAATCCTAACGAAACAACTGGGATGTTGAGCTCAAGAGAAAAGCTTGTTTCAGGGAGTAAAATTAAACTTGAACAAGACAGAAAGCATTACAAATACACATGCACACATGCATATACATAATCATTTAAGTAAAGGTCAGCAGAAAACAGGCCAGACAGAAATGCCAACAAATACAGTACCAACTCGGAGACTAAATTAAATGCTTTCTGAGGTGTTTTACTGAAACCACTCCCAAGAGAAAGAATCTACAAAAGGAAAGATAAGGAAGGGTCCAGCTGCAAAATAAAGCTACATGGCAAAATTACAAGATGAGATTAATTCAGATAAACGCTCCAAAAGGGGATTTGGGATTAATGACAGAACTGAAACATGGGTGTGCACAACGTGAATCTGAGACTTCTGAAGATGAGACAGAGGCATTTCCCTTATCAGTGGCAGTGATCACCAAGGCCATGTAAGAGAGGCTCGAGAGGGAACTGGGCTCAGGTGTCTTCAACTGCAGGAAAATGTCATCCACAATGAGAGTAACTTCAAGCTGCTGTGAATGTTGGCCACAAAGGGGAAAAATTCCCACAAGAGTCCAGAGGATGCAAGCAGAATTCTGCAAATGCAGAAAGAGAACAAATCCAAGAAGTAACCAAAGATGCAGATGGAGACACTGGCAACAGCATTAGCAGCAGCTAAGGTTGTTTTTGCCAACAAAGGAAAAAGTTAAGTATAGTAAATCAAATAAAATTAAACATGCAGCAGCAATAGATGCCCTACTTTTTTTTCCTGCAAATGTCTTTTGCCATTTCTTTTTTTCCCAGGAGGTAATGAGGATTTTTGTAAATCTCAGTTGAAAGCAGAGAACCTTACTTGTATTTCTGTCTAATGGCTTGAATAAGCAGACAACACTTCAGACGGCAAATATTTTTGCAAACTAAACTAAAATCAAGAATTCTGCATACATGGCATTCTGGTTGAAATATCCTGCAGATGATAACCAGCAGGACTAACACTACTGGCAATTTCCTTGAAGAAACCATTTGAATGGGACGATAGGCAACGGCACCGTATGACAGCTTTGGAGTGTCTATTTGTTAGGATTCTGCCAATTTGTTAAAAGCAGAGCACTGAGTTGCAGTGGGGAGCAGGAGGAGAGTTAAATTGCTTACACAGATGTATCAAAACAGTTTGCTGAGTTGCAATGCTACCAGGAATTATGAAAAAAAAACCCCTCGAAGCGTATTCACTGTCGTGTATCAGAATGGTGGTGTGTAGCTTCCTGTAACATCCCAAAGAAAAATAGCTGGATCACACTGGGAAAAGGCCTGAGGTGGGTTTCAGTGGGGGTGGAATTACATTTGGTGCAATCAGAACAGTCTGAATGTCACAGAATGAAATTCTGGATCAAAAACAGTGTACTTTGGAAGAAAGTTTAGTAACTCAGAAAGGATGTTTTATGTAGAAGATGAAGAAAATCTATTTTCACATTTTCCAGGATGTGACTTACATCATATTTTAAGATCTCGAATGAAGCTGCAGTGAGTTTTCAAGAAGGAACTCAAGACAATAATATGAATTTGACCTAGGTATAAATCAGAGAAAAGAAAAAAAATTACATTTTAAAATTGTACTCAAGCAGGCATTGAACAGCACTGCCCTGGAGTATCTCACACTCATGCGATGAGATCGTGATAAAATTTCAAGAACTAAACTCTACAAAGATAATGGAACTAAAAAAAAATCTCAAGAGCCCATGATTAAAAGCCAGTAACTACAAGAAACTATAATTATTCTAAAACAAACTTGCAGGGAAGAGTTTGTCTGAAGGGCTCTTGTTAGCCATTTGTGTACTAAAAGCTTTCAATATTAGCATTTCACTGTCTAGTGTATTTTTGATGGACTTTAACACGTGAAGTACAGGTGCACACCTATAGAACAGCAGCTAGAGATGAATCTGCTCTGAGGTAGGAGCTCACCTAGAAAGACACATATTAGAACTAAACAAGACTCAGAAGCACACAATTCTCTCAAATATTTATTTATTTATTTATATTTGAGCTGAAATGGCTCAAGTGGGAGCCACAATTTCTGTGAACGTACTAAATATAGCTTAAGATGAATTTTCCAGGAGCGTCCTATGGCGCCGCTTGGTGCCTTAGCAAATTGTGGGTTTAACTTCTCCTTGTGCCTTCTTAGAAATGAAAATCTCAGTTCTGGTTTTGATCAGCTCTCACTGAAGTCTTGGCTGTTGATTCTTGCTACAAATTCTTCCAGGTCCTACCTGACACTGGATAATGCTGAAAATTCTGTAAGTGTGGGGGCTGGACAGCATGTCAAAGAAGCCATCCAATAATGATAATATGCCAAGTATTATCATATCACACATTTTATATTGGCTCAAATTATTCTGTATTTACTGAGATATCTTACCCTAAATCTGGTGTCTAGACTTCTCTATAAAACTGATTTTTAAAGTTGATAGTGGTGCATTTTTATTTAGTGGTAAATAAGCTTCTACAGTCATTAATATATTGCATATGTAATGTATGTTGCAATTATGTTAAAGTACAAGGACAATTTAATCTCCTTGATACCCTTGAGCATCTGTTTTTTAAAATTTTCTTTTACTGATCCTGTTCACACTTTTTGCCTTCATAACAGGATGTAAGAGGTTGTAATATTCCATCTTGCCAGAGAACACAAGAACAAACAACACAAAGCAGTTTTGATAAATAAGTCACTCGTTCGCCCATCTCCATGACATCGAAGATCTTGACAAACCTCTAGCAAATTCAGCATGAAGTTTTTTCTTCTGACCTCAAGATCCCAAGTGTATTAATCCTCTTATTTTGTAAGAATTGCACCCAGCCATCTCATTTTTTGGCTTTCTCTGTATTCTCTAAATACAGTCCATACCAAATTACCCAGCATTAAAGATAAGGAAGGATGCACAATGGATTTGTACAATGGTATGATGACATTTCCTGTTTTATTTGCTATTCCTGTCCTAACCTTGGCATCCTCTTCTCTTTCTGCCATGAGGTGCTGGAGAAGCTTTAATGTCAGTCCTTCTCAGAATTTCCTAAAAATCAGTTCTATCAGTGCTCCTTTAAATTGAGACAACCTCATCTCTTCAACCAAGTTTTCCAACTTCTAGCACTTCCAGCACTTGCACAGAAAACCAGTTTTGTTCCTGTTCCAGTCATCTATTTTTGTGTGGTCTGCTTAGTCAGGAGATTATTTAGGTGTTTCTTTGCTATTTTCTGTCTAAATCTAATCAATTTCTGTCTTTTTCTAAGATTTATAGCTTTTGGTTTTCAACTCCAGTTCCTCTCTCATGTGAAGTTCTTTCTTACTAGCCATTTATAGGGCATCTGTAATTCTTTTACAGGGTCATGACAGAACTACAACCCCTTATTCATGTAATTATCTCAGTGGCAAAATTATCATATTTGTTTAACCCTGATAGTAGATCTGGGAAGGCTTTAGAAAACGCTCTTATAACCTTTCTTTTCCTGTCCTTCCCATTTTGGCAGTATTCACACATATTCATTCATTTGTACTGCAAAATCTGGAACCCATTAAAACTTATATTTTAAACTTGTTTGAGTGCTGTTAGACACCCTCTGATGTTAAGCATTCCCTACAATGCTGAGCTTAGCTACTGACTACAGAAGACTTTCCCTTGCCATAATTTGAAAACTTTAAAAGTATCCAATAGGTTAAAGTTGTACCATGAGACAGAGATAAAGCAGGTTGAAAAATACAACACGAATACTTGCTTGTTCTCTTTCATAACAAAGGGAACAAGATATCTCTGTCTCAGCCTACTCCAGCCTCAGGGACTCTGAACTTGGGGAAAATCCCAAGAGTTTTATCAACTGCTATAACCATGAGAGATGTGCCAAGCTTGGGAGGGAGCTGGTAGGTGCCTCAATGGAGATGTGGGAAGTGCTGCAGTTCACACACTTAAAGCACTGCTGGGCACCTTCAACACACACAGGTATTTTTTACTCATTAGCTCTTTTCAAGGTGTGATGTTGTAGATAGGAACTTGGGCCTCAGTAAAATGTGCTCACATGAAGAGGATGGTTTTATAGCACTGTATATACTGGCTTGTAACACATTAAATGCAGAGATAACTGAGGAGACTTAGAATCACAGAATCATAGAATGGTTTGGGTTGGAAGGGACTTTAAAGATCATCTCATTCCAACTTGCAGGGACACCTTCCACTAGACCAGGTTGCTCCAAGCCCCATCCAACCTGGCCTTGAACACTTCCAGGGATGGGGCAGCCACAGCTTCTCTGGGCAACCTGTGCCAGTGCCTCACCGCCCTCACAGCAAAGAACTTCCTCCTAATACAAAATCTAAACCCTCTTTCAATTTGAAGCCATTCCCCCTTGTCATGTCACTCCATTCTCTTGTAAAAAGTCGCTCCCCATCTTTCTTGCAGACTCCCTTCAGCTACTGGAAGGAGGCTTGATCACAAAGCAAAGGAACGGAAGCAGAGCTCGTTTCACCTGGGACTCAGAAACACCCCAGTGGCACAGGGGGACCACGTAACACACGTGGCTGTGTTTCCAGGCAGCTTCAGGCACCAGAGGCAGCCCTGTGGGCACTGCCCCGGGAGAGAAGGGGGAGCACTAGAACCTTCCGAGGCAGTTGGGGGGTGACAGCTGGGGAGTGACAGTTGGGGAGGGCAGGGACAGTTGGGGAGGGCAGGTTGGCCGAGGAGGGCACTGCAAAGCCCAAGGAAGGTGGACGTAAACAGGCAGCAAAGGAAACCGAACAGAAAATTCAGAAAACTTGGCTTAAAGGAGTGCCTGGGGCCTGAAGGCAAGTTAAGACACTGGGGGAGGGGAGCAAAGTAGGAACAAAACCGTGAATTGGGAATCAGTGAGAGCAGTGTGGTGCTGGGAGGAGGCAGCTCTCCAGCTGCCGAGGCGAGCAAGCTCCTACTTATCTTGCCATGTTGACTAGAGAAACAGACTTCAAATGACGCAGTGTCTATAAACAGAGAGGAAGAATTAGTTCCCATTCTGGTAGTTGTGTCTATGACCCTAAAACGCTCACCCCCCTCCGTCCCCAACCAGGAATTCAGTTCCTGAGGGCACTGACAGTGTTATCACAGAGCTGATTCGAGGAGGAGCGGGAGGCAAGGAGGGACAAGCACTTGGTTATTATGGCAGAAACTTGGTACAGCGATTATGAACGTCGCCCAAAAGCCGGACATGCCACTCCTCCCCAAAATGTAGAACGTATGAATCGGGAGTCAAGTGCAGGGTAAACAGGCTAAGTAGAAACGCTTTCTTGTTACGTGTGAATTTCATTCAAAAGTAAACAAAAAAAATCACAGATTGTGCCGTTTCAATCACGCTGATGGAGCAGGACAGTTACTTTGATGTGGTGTTCCACTGTGCTCATTTTTGTTAAAAGATGTATCGGAAAAGCCTTGTTCACATGCTGATTTGCCTCTTCAAACAGCTCTGCTGCTTCCTCCATAACGCTTTCTCTTTCTGGTCTTCTGAATAATTAGTTCTCTGGGGAGAGCAAGTCTTTTCTTGCTTACTAGTATTGGAACAGGGAATATCTGAACTAATCCCATGGTACCCCCGATAATGCTCCTTTTGACATATCGGAGATCCTTTATGGAGCATTATGTGACCCCTCCTGTAGACAAATACATGTCAGATGTGCCATGTGAGACATTTACAAGCTCCAGCTAGGTCCATTTATGTTTATCACTCAACGGAGCAGGACTTCCACGGGGGTATCTCCGTAGCAATCCCGTTTGATAAGCTGCTATGTAGAGAGCAGAATGCCAATGGGGATGAGAGCTCCGTACTCCTGCCTGGGTGGCCATAACAGATGGTCTATAGTGGAACTTCAACCACACAAAAAAAAACCGTGAAGTGGCACAAATCTGAGTCACTGGTACAAAAATCTCTGTTTTGGAGGACTCTTGACTGCTGTTCTGACTGGGTGCTAAAAAGCACAGTGCTGAACTGGCAAGGAGCTAGACCTGAAAATTCCTCTCCTGCCACTTTTTAAAAAGCCCTTTTGTAGGGGAGTAAGGCAGTGCCACTTATAAAAAGGATAGGCTTGTCTTGTACCTTTGACAGCAGTGGAGAAACACTGATCAAAAGAACTTATTATTGCTTGTATATCTCCAGGAAGGGCTGCAGGTACTGACTGTGCCTATATTTTCATATATATGCCCACACACTTGTACGGGAGATGTTGGTCATGTGAACTTTATCTGATGAAAGTCAATTTTTATTCTTGCAAATTGGTATTTATACAAACACAGATATAAACATATACAGATACACATCTATGTAAAACACCTGTAGTACTTAGTTCTTCCTCATCTCTGCTTGGAATACACTTATCCATTTTTTTTAAAGTAACAATTTTTACAAAATGCAGACTAAACAGAGAACAGGAGAAGGACAAGTGCCCCTTCAAAATACCAGCAGTTTTACATTCATATCTTATATCATGCTCTTAAATCTTCTCACAGATGAGGACTTCACAGATTAAAGGAGGAAAAAGAAAGCGATCTGGAAATAAGTGGGAAGCCTACTCTGCAAAATCTGATGGCCGAGCGAAACAGAAAAGGTAAGATTTCTGTTTATTCACTGATAAAGCCTGTATTTGTCTTGAATTGTTACCATCCAAACATCACCTGATATAAAACACATCATAAAAATGCTTTACACAAGCGAAATGGACCAAACATACCACATGATGACCATCTAAGAAATAAACTAGCTGAATGCATTATTTACCAGCTTGTTCAGCTGTACTGAAGAACTAATTCGATAGCTGCTATACAAAGGCAGAACGAGGAGTAAAAACCTCTGTGTGCACAGGACATGGACAGCAGTGTTGGTTTTTATCCCTTCTATGGCACTTATTTTAATAGATACCTACACCACAGGCTTCAATTTTAGATTTTTAGTGTTTTACAAAGATGGATTTCTTCTCATGCTGGGAAGACTGAAGCACAATCATGTAAAATGACTTGCTCAACTGCACGTAAAGTGCCAGTGTAGCCATCAGGCTGTGCTAGAACTTCCCTTCTGCAGAGTATGCTGGCAATAACTTTCTGAGCTGCTCATTGCACTGTTCAGATCAAAAGCAGCATACAGGACAGTGACCAAAACTGAGAATGAAAGTATGTCACTGACAAACACAACTAACAGAATTAAGTACATATAACAGCAAAACGTGTTTGTCTGCAGGTTCTGTCCCTCACTGATGGGAAGCTACACTGTTTCTATCATATATTACCTTATATTGGTATAACACCACCCTCTCCTTGACCTACATTCTTTGTTATCAATCCTTGCTTACAGTTACATTATTTTAGCTGCTTTAGTTTAAGTGAATTTCAAGTTTAAAATATTTACAAATATGTACAAATCTCTCTTCTAAATTCAGTTACACAACCTTTCTGTAACCGTGGCACAGTTCAATCTAAGTTTTGGTTTTTCAAATACAGTTCTTGCGAGAAATGCAGTCAATTTACAAAGGATGACAAATTCTACAGTTTTCTGACTTCACATCATGTGGAATTTTATTTCAAAATGTGTTTTGACTGCTTGATTATCCAGCAACAAAAATGAGGGCATAGCATTAGGGCTGCTGCAGGAAGTAATTTCTCAAGTAGCATTACTGTCTACTTGAGGGAGAAATAACTGGCTTGGTAGGTCAGCAGAAATGGATGCGGGGGTAAGACAGGTCAGCAAGACTGTGGATAGATCAGACTGACTCCAAAGTATTTGTATTGGCACATGTACACAGGAATGTGGTCTGTGACAGGCAGGACAGCAGATGTTGAGGCCTCAATGGTAGCAGTGTCCAGTCTTGGGTGCTACAGTTCAAAAAAAGATGTGAATGATTTTGAGACAACACAGAGCCAAGAAATAAGCACCTTAAGAGGTTTAAAACTGTGTCACACAGTGAATGATTGAAATGAACTGAAAACACTTTGTCTATAGGTAAAAAAATTTAGGGGAGGCCTATTTCTTAACATATGAAGAGGCATTTTGAGAGACGAGAGGCAAAACTGCTCACATCCATTAGTTATACTTCAGTAGCCATGAGCTTTTAACTAGTGTTCCAGGTTCCTCAACGTGAACTGGACCAGGGAACTTAGCTGCCTGAAAATTAGCAATTTTGAAAGTAGTTTGACAACAGCTTACATCACTTTAAATCGAGTCTGACACAGTCCCACGCCCTCCGTTATGCCAAAAGCTGAGTCAAGAAGCTGAGTGGGACAACAACTAGGTATCCTTCGCAGGATTAGTAATGTTGAGAGGGTTCTGTACCTGCACTAAAAGGAGGGATGTGACTGATCCACCAAAGCAACCAGCTCTCAAACTACCCTTGAGCTCATTTCCTAAAAAAAAAAAAAAAGACTGTACCGCAGAGGGATTTGGTGATATCAACGCAGGAAGGCTGCTGCTCATATAAGTCACCTTTTTTTCTGCCAGAAATATAGGAGAAACAGTGGAGAGTATTTTCAAACGTAATAGCCATATTAACACCATTACAGAATCACAGAATCAATTACGCTGGAAAAGAACCTCTGAGATCATCCTCTGAGTCTAACCTATGTCCCAACACCACCGTGTTAACCAGACCATGGCCCCGAGTGCCAGGTCCAGTCTTTCCTTAAACACCTCCAGGGACGGTGACTCCACCACTGCCTTGGGCAGCCCATTCCAATGTCTAATCACCCCTTCTGTGAAGAAATGCTTCCTAATGTCCAACCTAAACCTCACCTGGTGCAGCTTAAGACTGTGTCCTCTTGTCCTGTCACTTGTTACCTGTCAACTCTCACCTGGCTACATCCTCCTTTCAAGGAGTAGTACAGAGCAATAAGGTTCCCCCTGAGCTTCCTTTTCTCCAGGCTTAACAACCCCAGCTTAACAACCTCAGCCGCTCCTCAAAGACATGTTCTCCAGTCCCTTCACCAGCTCCATTGCCCTATAGCTGTATTTTGAGGAAAACAAACAAACAAACCAATCAGGACCCAAAACAAAACCACCAAACACCAAAGCCATCAGGTAGATAAGTTAAAATAAAAATTTATGACATTTAACCATACTATCTATAAGCAGCCGTTGTGCTGGTCCCTGGTTCCGAGTATATAAAAATACACTTAAGGCGGGGAAAAAAAAATAAAAAAGGGTGGTGCAGACAGCGATCACACACTGGGCTAAGAAACCCAAGGGTGCAGAGAGGAGAGGGAGGGTGCAGCCGCTGCTTCCCACTGCGGACAAAGAGGGAATTGCGGCCGTGCCCGCAGCGGGTCCCTCCGGCCGGACCCGGCGCGGCCCCTCGCCCCCTGCCCTCCCCGGGAAGCGGCTCTGCGCCCTGCGAGGGGCTCCGACGGGGGGCTTTACCTCAGCCTTAGCGGGGTTTTCCCTCAGCAGCGCCGGGTTTTACCGCTCAGCCGAGGGGGCCCCGCCGCTCCCCCGGGCGAAGGATGCGAGGGACCCGCCGGATGCGGCGGATCCGCGGGGCTGCGGGAGCGGCGGGGCCGCGCCGCTGCCGGGGGAGGGGGCGGCCCTTTCCCGGCGGTCCCGGCGGCCAAGGCGGCTCCGGGCGCCACTGAGGCGGCGCGTCCCGGCGGCGGCTCCGGTGGGCGGTCGGGGGCGGTCCGCGGGCGGGGGGCGGTGGCAGCAGCGCGCTCGGTTGTGAGCGAGCGAGTGTGTGCGAGCGAGTGCCATGGCCGGAGCCTGCTGAGAGCCACAATAGGACCGCGACCCAGACGCCCACCGGGACCCTCCACTCGCTCTTCTCCCCCCGCGCCAGCGCCGCCGGCGGAACCCGCGCTCCCCGCCCTGCCCGGCACTGCCCCCCCCTCTCCGCGCCCGCCGCTCCCCCTCGGCTCGGCTCGGCTCGGCTGTGCTCGGCGGCTCCCCCCCCCACACCACCCCGCCTCGCAGGGCCCTTCTCCGGGAATGTGAAGAGGCAGCGGCACCGCAGGCAGCGGGGAGTGCACGGGACTGAGCGGAGCCGCCCGCGCCTGAACCCGCCGCCGACGCCGCCCTGCGCCGGGGAGGCCCCGCCGCCGCCGAGGCCGAGGCCTACAGGGCTCCTGCGCCGCCGCGGCAGCGACCGAGCCCGGCGAGAACCGCACTCGGGCCGCCGCCGCCGCCGCCAGGCATCGGCCGCGCTCCGCCAAGGCCGCCGCCGCCTCCCTCCGTCTCCGGCTTCTCTACCCAGGAGCGTCAAGGTAACTCCATGGCCGGCCCGGCGGTGCGGGAGGAGGGCTGCGGGAGGACATGTTCCAGCTGCGGAGATCCCGTCTGAAAATGACAGCCGGGAGCGGATAATTGCGCCTCTGCTCCCTTTTCCCCGCCGATATCCGTCGGTATTTTCGCGTCTTCCACCATCCCCCCCCTCCCCGGGGCTGAGGGATCTGATGAGCGTGGCTTCGTATTTACCAAAATACTCGGGGAATAAAGCGGAGGAAGCGGGGAGCGGGTGGCCGGGTTTGCAGCTTTTCCCCCTCGCACACAATAAATAATCTCGGGCTTTATTCCCCCCCTCCTCCCTCCTTCCCCCCCCGACTCTTGGTGGAAACAGAGTATTTCCCTGTGATAGTGTATGCAGGGCAGCGAATGTTCATTTGGGGAGACGAAAAGAAAGATCAGTGTTTACTGTAAGGTTGTTAGGCTGGATGGAGTCTTGTTGAATTAGAATTAGATTTTAATAATTTATAAAGCAGGTTAGGGAAACTGTTACTAAATTTACAGCGGGGAAGTGTCAGTAAAGCTCCTTGCTGACACAATGATCCTGCAGTTTAAGTGATCTACTTTAGTCCCTGTCCATTATTATTTCTTTTTTTTTTTTTTCTTTTTTTGCAATTTAATTTGGAGGGAGCGTGCAAACATTTCTGCAGGGATGGTTACACTTTAATGATGCACGTGATGAGGAGGGGAAGCTTTCTGATGAGATGAAATAGGGCCAAACCGATTCAGGTTTAGGGAATATATTTTTTGCTGATATTTCCAGAATTTGGTTTATGTAACAGGTAACTTCGTGTTTGTATGTTTTTTGGCGGACTGTTGAAATCTTGGAAGTGGGTTACTAAAGTACAGGCCATTCTATTTCAGTTTATCTGACTTTTTTATTTATTAATCTTGGCTGGGGCCTGAATGCCCTGGTGATGGTGGCATTTTTTTTTTCCGCCCAGATGATAAACAAGACCAGTTTAAGGTACGGGTTCATGTTGCTAATAGTATATTATATTTAGAAAGCCTAAGCTGGTAGTGAGAGAATACCTCAGGAGAAATCAAAAAGATGGAATGAGATTTTTTTTCATTGTTGTAATGCCAGCTGCACAGTTCACCTTCTGAGTGCTGCACATGCTTCCTCGAAGAAGCTATGGAGTTTATACTCCCATTTTTGATAGATTTAGTGCACCTATATGTGATTTTGCATTAAACAGTTCTTATCTTTCGGAGCTTGTTTACACTGTTGCAACAAATCATGCTTTCGAAAGCTTTTCTTACAAAAGACAAACCTAAATGATGTCTGTTTCAGGGGATTTAGTAATTTATGAAGCCTATGAGTAATCAAATATTTTAATAAAAATAAGTACTCGAAAGTGTTCTCTGTGTCGTGGAATCAACTTCTTGTAGCAAAGGAGTCACTTTGGTAATTGAAGTCAACAGACATTGAGGATGAGTAATGCTTTCCAAGGACATGTTCTAAGACCCTGATCCTGCAAATGCTTACGCCGATGCTTAACTTTGCACGAGTGTGTGGCCTGGTTGAAATCAACGGAGCTGCTCTCGCTAATGATCGTGTCATTAATGCAGATGGGGCTGCTGATTTCAGGGGAGCTGCACACGCTGGTGAAGTTAACTGTGCACAGAGCTGCTTGAAACATGTAGGCCTGAATTCCTCCTGTCTCGTTTCTGTTGAGTGTTGCTCACATATTTCATCAAGATCTGATGAGCCTTTATAACACGCAGGACAAGACTGGTAAATACAATAGGTGAATGCATTAATTCACTGTTTAAATGTTTCCCAGTAGTATGGAATCAGCTACAGGAGTACTACCAAGGCAGGTTTTATAGGAAGATGCAGTGCTTATTGCTTACACCAGCTGAAGTTGGGAAACAAACAAACTTTTGCTTGCAGAAGCCTTTTTTGGCTCTCTGCCTCTCCCTGCAAACCTTGTCTGGCTTGTGCCCTTAGAACAGTTACAGCTACCAGACTGCTGGTCCTACAGAAATGCCAGAACGTGGAATAACTGTGTGTAAAGAGACTCCCAGGAAAATAACTGAGTATTTCTAAAATGGAGAATAAGGAAGCATTATGTAGAATTTGTCATTGCTAACGAAATTGTGAAGTATAACAATACTTTCTGCTATACCTTCTTACATTTCTATAAAATCTGGTATGCAGGTATGGTAAGCAAATGGAATTTTTCTGCTGTCCTATTTTTTTTTTTGGTCATGCATATTGGTGACTTGAATGCAAAAAAAAACATTTGTACCTTTTTGTGTACCCATTCTTTAGTATACATGGTCCCTTGCAGAGTGAGTTGAAATTACTTCATCCCAAAGAATACATAGTTTAAAGCAACAATCCTGTGTCAGGTCTACAGGTGTATGAATTCTGTTGACATAATGATGTCAGCATTAGGTCTGAATTTTTCCCGTTGCAGGATTTTTGGCAAATGGGAGACACAGATAAAAAAGTGAGCAAGAGGAATTATTACATTAATGATTAAGCTCCATTAAGTTTATTCCATGCAACGTGTAAATTTATCGGTGGGCTAAATCTCTTAACAGTTTATGTGGGTAAGTTATCAACAGGAGAGTGGTGCAAAAAGAAGATATTTGGGAAGTTTAGGCTAATCTTTACCCATTTCACTCATTTGGAATATATTTGTAACCTTTGTTTTCCTTCAGTAGGGATATGTCCTCAGCACCAACTACTCCTCCATCAGTGGATAAAGTAGACGGATTTTCTCGGAAGTCCGTCAGAAAAGCCAGACAGAAGAGGTCACAAAGCTCCTCCCAGTTTAGGTCTCAGGGCAAGCCTATCGAGTTAACTCCCCTGCCTCTGCTAAAAGGTAAGACCACATATGGGTTTTAATAAATAAAACGATTTTACCCTACAACCAGCTTCTGAACTCAAAGTATTCTATTGTAAAAAATTGCAGGGAAGTTTTGCCAGCACTGAGAAATGTTTTGTGCCGGAAATATATGTATTTAAGCTTTACAGAATATTTTGTCTGTGAGTTGAGGGCATGGTAATTGTTTGCAATACTTTTGAAAGTTTTAAATGCTGATGTTAACTTGTACCATGATTTGAGTTGTCAAGGCACTCAGGCTGTGTGTGAGTGTTTTAGTTTGTGAATCCTCAGCAGTTGACACTAATGAGAGGTAATTTTGGAAAGGGTAAATGGACTTTCGAGCAGAAAGAAACTGGTTTTAAGCATCTTTCCTTGACGTGTGGATCTGTAACCTGTGACAGTGGTGCCAACTGCAGCCCACAGGGGTATTTTAATTGTCCTACAGCAAGTGAGGAGGTGGGACCCCCTCTCATAGCAGTTGTGGATGGATAGCTCCCAGCTCCTGGCTTCTGCTGGGTTTTGAAATCAAAAGGTCCCATGAGCTGCAGCCTCTCAAGGGGAAAGATGCTGCCAGTCTGGTGTTAGGCAAGACCCTACTGTTTTGAGATCCTGCATATCCCAGCTGGAGCTGAATTTCTGCTGGCAGATTTAACCTCTGATTTGAGAAAGAAAATTATGATCCAGCATACTACTCTTTAAAGAGTGCCAGTATCTTGAATACTTCCCCTAAATTCCAGCTATCACCAAATTTCAGTACAAATCCAGGGGCCAAAATCAGAATTAATGTCTGTCTGGTGAGGAAGGGGAAATACCCTTTCAGAAGTCTTCAACATTGAATTCTCAAGCAGTTTATTTAGTTCTGTGGTTTTTTTTTTAATGGCTATTCTTCATTTGTGCTATAAGTAGTGAAAATAAGCATGGTTGGTGCTGATAATTCTGGAAAATAGCACGTTTAATAGGTTTAATATTATGTCTGTGCCTTTTTTTGCTTTGTGGCACATATATTTCCCACATTCCCTCATCTACCTGTTTGACAAATTTGTTAATCAGAGTATTTAAATATGTAATAAATGCGTGACTGCACTTTGGTTTAGTTCTTAACCCCACTTCTTCAAAAGAAGATAGAAGTTGCAAAATAAAACCAAACCTGAAACTAACACCCACAAAAACACTTATACCTTAATGTGTGTTTTTTAGTTTAATTAAAAGTAGGATTCTAGGATTAATTCTAGTGGAGTTATCCTTGAAATACTGTGGGCTTCTTCCTGTGGGCTCTCTGTAAGAATGCACGAATGGCCATCCTGGGTCAGAGGAAAGGTCCATCCAACCTCCTGCACTGGGCCTGATGGTGACTGGCTTGGATTCAGTATTCCTCAGTTCAGGGTTGGTTGGTGCCAGTGGATTTGATTTAGTAGTCTGCAATGAATATTATTTGTGATTCTTTG